AACATCTTTTGTTTTATCATGGCACACTTGGATTCGGCAAAGAACGCTTTTTTTACAAATTGGCGTTTCGACTTGGTTTTTCTCAAGTTCAAGTTCTCAAGTTTCATACGCCACTGGAATACAGCACGCCCCTGGTGATAAAAAATATTTTAGAAACATGCCGGCGGTAATTGTGTGCAATTTAGCTCTAAAATTTTTTTCATTATCTTTTATGGTAAAGGAATTATGATCCGAGGGATCTTAGGTGCTACACCCTTTACATGGCTTACCTAGTGCATAATAATTAATGAATATAAAGATCAAATAGTCGTTTTGGATTATGAGGTTGATGTCGATGGAAAAATAAACCCATAAAGAGCGTCGAAAAAAGCGGCAGAGCCCCTCGGTGTTACCCCACCCCACGGAGTTATTAGATTTGACCCATTTTCAATTGACTTGTTACATGTGGTATACAGGGTGGTGACTTGCGTAACCGAGTGCGTAACGCATCATAGAGATTTCAACTCGGATTTCAATGTAAAATTCATAACATGCGATTATTGGCTCTCCTAATTATTTTAGCGCACAAATGTATTAAGGTTTTTTGTAGAAAAAAATTTTTTATGTCAATCAACCGTATTAGTTTTCAATTTTTTGCATAATAGAGACGGAAAATTGGAAAAATAAAACCCCCATCTTTTTCAATAATCTGTGATGCCATGGAATTATAATACAAAAACTATACGCCAATATCCGTCATGCCATGGAATGTCTACTATAAAACAAATCAAATTCTATCAAAAAGTATTATATTAGGAACAGCGAATTCAACATAAAGAAATACCAAAATACTAAGAACGGTTTCCCAATATAACAATTTACAATAAATGTTCGAATAAGTCACCATCGAGGTCACCATTAACTGCAAGACAGTAACCAAGCCGATCATAAAATCCATTTCGCACTGCTGTAAATTGATAACTGGATATTTTTTGTTTTAGAAAATTCCATGGTATCGCAGATTATTGAAAAAGATGCGGGTTTTAGTTTTCCAATTTTCCGTCTTTAAATGAAAACAATTTAAAACTAATACGGTTGATTGGCGTAAAAAAATTTTTTCTACAAGAAACTTTAATACATTTTTGCTCTAAAATAATTTGGGGAGCCAATAATCGCATGTTATGAATTTTACATTGAAATCCCTACGATGCGTTACGCAAGTCACCACCCTGTATATGTTAACTGTGCAAAGTTTGAACCGAATAGGTTCAAGCGTTTGCCAGAGGCAAAGAGGCTTGACCCTACGGGGTCATTGGATTTGTCCTCGGATTTGTCCAAGCGTTTGACAGTTATCGTGTTCACGGACAGACGGACACCATCGACTCCCCTAAAAAGCTTGCATCGCTTTGCTCTGCCGATTAATAACTGAAGTGAAGTACAAAATTTACTGATTAGCATATCAAAAATTTATTCATCTCCGAAAATGACCCCGAATGTTGTAAACAAGATATATTAATGGTTGTAAATATATATTAAAAACAATTAATTACGCCAAAGCGTCAGCTGATTTGCGTTGATCGAAAGGTCTGGTCGCTCATTGGCTCATTTAAATTTATTCCGTATAGCCCAGTCAAATGGTGATTTTTCCAAAACAATAGTACATTGATCTACAAGTTTAGAAAAGTGTTAGTTTTCTAGTGAGTGTAAATGTTTGAATTCACGAGTGAGCGCAGCTCACGAGTGGATCAAATTTGCACGAGCATAGAAATCCACTTTTCTTACGTGTAGATCATGCTATTTTTTCGTGTAGTTTACAAAAATAACTCTAATTGTAACGTTTTGTTTTGATGTCGAAGAATAATTTATTATAATATCAAAGTAGGTATGTTGAGCATTTGTTGATATGGTAACAAAACATACGAACAAGTAAATAATTTGTGAATAACGCTCATGTAAAATGAGTCAATCAAACGGGAATAATGAAGAAATGTTACAATTGGTATTAGAAGCAGAGTCAAGTTTATTACCTAAAAAGTCCAAAGTAAGTACGAGAAATGAGTTCTGAGACTGGAGAAATATAAAAAATGTGCGAGGAGCAAATGAAGATATTCTAATTGCGTACTTTGTTGGAAAGGTTTGTATTACTCGTATTTATAAAATTTATTAGCACTGATTTTTAAATATTCTTAGGCAAAAAAACTTAAAGCTGCTACACTATGGTCACAATACTCGATGCTGAGAAGTACTCTACAAATATAGGAAAAAGTGGGATATTTCTGTTTATTACTTGCTTACCTGAAACGTCAAAATGACGGTTATGTGGCAAAAAATCGAGAGTTTTATCGATGGATAACGTAAAGGAGTTTTCAGAAAAGTCTCCTGATGACAAGTTTCTGTTTATAAAGGTCGTGTTGGTAATTGCCCTGCACGGACCCTGTCGGGCGGAAGAATTACAGTTACTAAACGTGGATGAAGATTGGGGAAATATTTTGGTCATAACATTAAACGACACAAAATCAAAGAAAAAACGAGCCTTCACAGTTACATCGGAGGATGAATTTATATTTTATAAACGTTGCGGTCGCTTTCCTCATCTTCTGGTGTAATATTTAATAACTTAATAAATTGTTCATTTATGATTTACAATAATAAACAAAATGAATGAAAAAAAGTGTTGCTAACTGAAATCGTGAAGAAAAGCGTTGCTAACAAGAAAAGTCTCACTTTTCTTCACGATTTTTGATTTAACAATACGCCACTTTTCTATTAACTACACGAATAAAGTTTTTTTCTCAACGGTTTTATATGTTTTCGAGAGTGCTGAATCTAAATTTATGGTGTGCTGCCTTATAGGAGATCGGCTTCATAGCCAAAAACGCAAAAAATCGGAATTTTTCAGCACTTTTTTTAGTTGTTTGCTTATATCTTAAAAACTACACGTTTTTTGAAGATGTGCGTTCTACACAAAATTAAAGCAAACAAAATTTCCTACAAAATGCACTAGTGCACTTTGATTTTGTGTTAAGCGGTCTTCGCCCTAGAGCTCAGTGAAACGAAATGATTGTGCACAGGATCATCATTCCTTTGAGTGACCTGACGTCATAGTTATAGCCACAGTTAATTTGTACGTTTCCGTTTTGTTTTGCGTCGTCCACTAGAAGGCCCAGGTAAAGGGTCTTGGGCAATCGAAAGTCCATCAAAGAGTCAGGAGCTGTGGAAGGTCTAGGCTGAATACTAATTTGTGACTGTTCAATGTTACTATGAAAAGTGTAACACTAGAAAAAACTAAGTAAAAATGCATAATAATGATGCAAAATCTTATATAAATTGATACCTTCTGTCTCTTCAGCCGCTTCAGGCGGTAAGACTGGAATTGGCTTATCCAGATCGCCTTCGCATTCTGCATCGTATCTATCGTCGATGTTGGAGCACGACCCTTCACACTGCTGGCACAGTTTTGTGCAAAAATTAAGTTTTTTGTTGATTACTTGTTTATTCCTCGACTTGAAAGAGGTGGTAGGTACTGGGCGCTTTTGTGAAAATTCAAAAAATCGTGGCTTTTTAGCGAACTCTAGCGCGGGTACCGCTTATCGCAAAATAAAAGCTAAATAATGTATTTTGTAGAAAATTTTATTTACCTTAATTTTGTATAGGGCGCCCATCTTCAAAAAAACGTACGTTTTTGAGATATAAGCAAAAAACTGAAAAAAGCTCGGAAAAAAGTATTGAAAAATTCCAATTTTTTGCGTATTTTGGTATGAAGCCGACTTCCTACAAGGCAGTAAACAATAAATTCGGATGCAGCACATTCGATAACATATAAAACCGTTGATAAAAAAACTTCCGCAATTTTGTTCCGAAAGCGGCAGTTTTAAACACGCATTTACTGGACTAGTAGTGCGACCTGCGACCTCAAACCGAGGCGGCGCGCGGCGGCGGCCGGCGTGTGCATCGGCTGACGTTTTGGCGCTCGTTTTGGCGTAAAAATGTCCGATTTAATTTAAAAAATTTGGATTGTAGGCCGTAGGTTCCCACATCAAACTAGAAGACAATTAATTGCTCTACAAAATGCGAGACAAAATAGTCTTTTTTTCGTAGTGTGTCATTTTCGGAGATTCATTTTTTGATATGCTAAGGGCAGAATTTCTTGAACTAAGTTATTTTTCATTGACAGAAATTTTATTTGAAGGTTTCTATGCGGAAACGAGATAGATTGACTGGACTAAAACATATTTAGTTGATATTTTTCGAGATATTTTTTTACTTCTAGTTTCTAGGTTTGTACCTACTTCCGGTAAATGTGGTTTTTCTTAGATTTCAAATAGAATAGTCCTACATTAAAAACTTAAAATTTCATTTTTCAGATTTTTCTCCGAAACTTCTAAATGTAACATACACCCTTCATGTCCACTTGGTTTGTTTCAACCTCGGTTTCAACTATGAAATGTTGGTACAGAACGAGAAGGTTCGCTCAGGTGAACCTACAACCTTTAGGGCCGGCTTTTTTTTCATTACTGTGAACTGCCCGAGAGTTAGCATCCATAGAAACAAATGCATTCGCGCCGTATTGGAATAGGAGCTTATCTATCGAATAAGTAAGTATAACTGGCACATGAAAAGCCGGTTCTTGGTCCGTTTTTGGTACCTACAGATAGTTATCGGCTTATCGCTATCGAAATTTTTAGCCTATCTCTCGGCATATCTATTGTAGATATTTTTATCGACAAAGCTCATCTCAAGTACTTCAAAACGGGCCGAAAATTCCCAAATTCCGCGAACAATTACATGCAAAAACCGCGGTCGGGTCGCTGGGCCTTTTACCGTAACTGCTTTATTACCTAATTGGTGCCCAATTATACACACACTTAAATTACATTATTCGCAAATGACCGGCCATTGTAAAATTAACAGAAACGGTATTTGTTCAAGGTGCACATTGCGGTGTTCACAATTTTGCTATTCACATCGGTAAACAACATTTTAGTAAACCGTTAGGATTTTAGTTAGTAGGTGACTCGAGCCTTACCTTTGATATATTCGGCATGTGGAATTGTTCACTCGCTTATCGCTGGCGTGTCGTCTGCGATCTTCGAAAAGGTCCTTAACGGCGGTCACGCCGAGTACGAACAGTACTGGAATCATGGCAATTTCTTTGCCAAAAGCGTTAATCGCGGGAAACCAATTGAGCAATACGATAAATATAAAATACAAATTAGCGACCCTATGAAATTGTTCTAGTAAATTCCTAGGTAAAAAGGATAGTAACGTATATTTAGTAGTCCGAACTTTGTTATTGGGTCTATTGCCATTTGGATGTTCCTTTCTAGGCGTCTTAGGAGGAACCGTATGGTTAGGCACTACTATACGATAACGTTCTTCTTGTTCACTACGCGGAGATCGTCTCAATAAAGTACACACGAGCCTCTGCCACAAAGGTGGAGGAAGCGAACGTCTTAAGGTGTAAATCGAATCCGAACGAGATGCCTGTCTAGAATGCCCTTTTGAAGACGACTTCACACCGCTGCTCGCCAAGTTTTCGCCCTCTTTGTGTCCCGGAGGCAGTATGAAATCAGTTTTCGATCCTACTCTACTATGTCCAGGTCGTAACCCTGCGGAGGAATCTGTTATTTGACCTTGCGAAAACGCTCTTTGATGTCCTCGTGCCATTTTAAGAGCCGAAGGTCGACCCGCAGCACCTGCGGTTACGTTACCTCCGAGGGTTGTACTTCCGCCGTGACTGGCGCTTCTCCCGTGTCCTCGCACTTCTGGAGATTTTGTCTCTGGAAAGGTGTACGTGGCACATTGAGCACCACGTACAGAGAGCAAATCTGTTGTTGTCTCCGCAGCCCTGACATTTTCGCCTCCGCTTAACGTATTGGACATTCTTAAACATCTGGTACTTTCCACAATTCGCTTATCAATCTCTTCTGAATGCGAACTAAGCAATTATTTATTTATCGAATGCACATAAAAGTCGGAACACTAATCACTAGCCTTTACTAATAAAATGTATGTTTTTTAAGTTCATAATGAATTAAAAAGTGTCGCAGATATTGTTAAAAGTTTTATTGACGTACTAATAAACTACTTAACCTCACGTACGATAAAAACCAACACAACTTCCACTCACGAAAGCACAACATTAACTAAACACACGCGATACAAACCAGTAAACCTATCTAATCGCCATCTGTCAACTTGACAGCAACCTTTGCCTAGCAACCAACATAAAAGCTTGAAAAACACGGCGGAACGCTCGGTAACTGTTTTTTTTACAGAGACGTATTCAGGTATATTGGTTCGGCGACGAAAGCTTGATTAAAAATCACTATTGGATAATACAAAAAAATGTAAATGTCTATATGGACTATGTATGTTCGTACGAGTGTGTGGCACGTTTGTTATTATTTTTGATGGTAGAGCCGAGGATGGAAACGCATCGGATGTAACTATGTAAGTAACATTTGGTGGCGTTTAAAGTAGTCAGTGCATCAGTATGTTGAGAAAGATAGCCGTGTATGTACACATTATTTTATTAGTATTAATTTGTAGTATATAATAATAAAAAGATGGATGGAGTAACTTATCACTTAGGTATTCAGCTTTCAGCGTTGATGTTGACTCTTGACTCTTCCTTTAAATACAATTGAATTTGCTTATATAAGTAGTAAACGAAAGGTTTCTAGAAAAATCACATTCTCGAAAGTCGAACAGTCCAAAAGACGTATCATATTTCAAGGAAAGAATGCGCCACATCCACTTTCATCCCTTATCGCCGGTGACTAATCTTTTATCGACTTCATGGCAGCTCTACAGAGGTTCTCCTGTGCACAGGTCGTGACGACTAACATCTCTGCCTGAAACACCCTCTTGTTCTAGGACCTCAACAGGCTTACGCCCAATTACAGAGTGACCCGCATAATGCTTTTTAGAGGTGCCCCTGCAGAAGGTCTTAAGTTGTTCTATACTACTTAGGAAAACTGCAGGAAAACCTAATTCGGAGTAGCCGGCAGAATGCTCGAAACTGATCTAAGGAAATTCCCATCTCGCCACAGATGAAAAATTCACCTCAAACCAGGTTCGAACACCCGACCTCCGGATTTATAGCCCAATGCTCTACCACTGAGCTACAGTGACGGATCTAGAAGTTTTCAGCACGGGGGCAAATTTGGTATTTTGCCGTTGCCGCCCTTCTTCACACACAGCTAACACATGAAAATGATCAGGGCAACATAAAAAAATTTTGGCTTTACAGGAACGTTGTATCGTTGTTGAGCCTTCACTCAACGGTGATACAGGCAACAGACTTGTCTTTTTTGTTTTTTTTTGCCATTTGGTTAGTTACCTTCATTACGTACAGCGCTGTGATCTCAAAGTCTATAATTTTGGAGAGTACCTATCCCGCATAGCTTATTCCAGGTTTGGTTCTCGGGATTTCGCGGACGCCATATTAAAATTACACGAACCATGCCGACTTTTGCCGCCCCTATTGAGTGCCGCCCGGGGCACTGGCCCCCTTTTGCCCCCCCCCCTATCCGGCACTGCAAAGCTATAAGCCGGTTAATGCTATGCTGACCAAGGAAGAAGCAGATGTCATCTCTCGCGACCGATCACCATATAAATACACATGCTTGTTCTCCCTACTGGTAGGGTTGATGAACGATTGATCTGAGTTCAACCCTAGGTTCAGCCATTGCTCCATGTGCGCGGTAGAATGGCTTTATAACTTTTTGGTCTTAGTGAGACAGCCCGGAGGGACTCCCTGATATCCATCCTTGCCCAAGGCAAGGTTCCTTTCACTCACCCAATGCGTTTAACCGCATAGAAGCTCTCCGAGCCTCCGCCTCCACAGCTGAGCCCAAATCCGCTCACCTTCTATTCGTGAATGGCCATTGCTTTTCAGCTATCACAAGATCCACAGTATAGGGGAAAGTTTCCTGAAAACAACACTCCACTCTGCGGCAGGGGTTGGACCTCATATCAAGTATAAGTCCGGTAGAATTATTTTTTACATGTTCCTGTATCGATTCTGGTTTTGCGCTTCAGTAATTTTAGGTTCCGGTATCGGTTGTTTTTCGATTCGAAGAATTCCAATATAAATCAATAAAAAATGTATTGTACACAAGATTCAATTACATGTACATTATTGTTTTTCTATAAATATTTTTTTGTTGAATTGAAACGTCATTTTAGCTTGCGCGTTTGCTTCACCTCTGTAAGCTGCCTGATATTTTGTACTTTCCTTTCCAATAGCAGTAGTTTCACAAGAACACAATAATGATACGTAAAGTTTAGAATACGGCCCTGGCGATCTGGAGTTAGGGTAATTTGGCTTTCGGTGGGTGGGTAGAACATGTAATGTTGGCAATTCCGTTCATTGAATTGACGTCGGCTGATTTGCGCACCGTAATCCGAACAATCAACTGTGTAGAAGCGATTAATTGTTCGTTAATTGTGAGTTCTATTAAATAATCTTTAAAATGGATGAAGAATACGATGCGATCGTTCTGGGTACCGGCCTAAAAGAATGTATTTTAAGTGGAATGTTATCGGTATCGGGCAAGAAAGTACTACATGTCGATCGAAACAAGTACTACGGCGGGGAGTCGGCCTCGATTTGCCCCCTTGACGAACTTTTTTCAAAATTTGGTGCACCTCCACCGGACGAGTCGTATGGACGCGGCCGCGATTGGAACGTAGATTTAATTCCAAAATTCCTTATGGCAAATGGCCAATTAGTTAAATTACTCATACATACCGGTGTTACACGTTATTTGGAGTTCAAATCTGTTGAGGGCAGTTATGTGTACAAAGGGGGTAAAATATCCAAGGTAAGCACAAAATAGTTTATCTGGTTTATCTAATACCCTTTGACAGATGGGTTCAAGTTTTAATGAAATGTAAATTTTGCTAAGTTAATTACCTACATCAGTTTTTTTTGCTTTTACCGTTAAAAGCATATTTAAGGTAACTCATGCAGAACTTGTGGCTTGCAAAAAGTTTGCAATCCTGTTTTTTCTAATTCCTTCTGTTACAAATTGTGAATGACTGTTCCAAACGTGCGACATCTACTGCTGTTAACTTGTAACCGCATTTATTTTATAGGTGCCGGTCGATCAGAAAGAAGCTTTGGCCTCCGATTTAATGGGCATGTTCGAGAAGCGAAGATTTCGCAATTTCCTAGTTTACGTTCAAGATTACGCCGAGCAAGATCCTCGGTCGTGGAAAGAGTTCGACGCGCAAAACCAAACTATGCAAGAACTGTATGAAAAATTCGGTTTAGATAAAAATACGCAAGACTTTACCGGGCACGCTTTAGCTTTGTATAGGGATGATGATTATTTGCAGACTGCTGCGATTACTACCATAAGGCGTATTAAGTTGTACTCTGATTCTTTGGCACGCTATGGAAAATCTCCTTATTTATATCCGATGTATGGCTTGGGAGAACTTCCACAAGGTGGGTACATGTAGATGTTTGTCATTCATACTTATTCTTGTTTAAACAACATTGTTTACAATATTTCTGACTTGCAATAAGTGCATAATATTGAATTTGAGAAAAGTACTTAACTGTTCAATGCTTGTGTTAATATAATTTTTCTCACCTACTTGACCACAATCTCATTAAAATCTACCTACGAGATAGGTGGGCAGCAAATTGCTTCGGTCTCAAAGCAAATATCTACTGAAAATTGTCGCCAGACAAATTTCAAAAAAGCCAGCTGGAAAGTGGTTGTTAAAGTTCTGTGCTCTATCTAATTTTGGTGAAATTTGCAATTTCTCTAACGTAACCTTTCAGGCTCTAGCATTGTAAATTTAGTCTGGCACCTTTAGGTAGGTACCGAATCTCCATGTTTAGAAATGAATGGATGGAGATGAATTTGGACACAAAAACAGGAGGCATAGATAATTAACACTTTCCTGATTAGAATGTGGTTTTTGTAGAACTTGAGATATCCAATTTACCACTACATTTGATAAATCATAACAACTTTTGGTTTACTTGAAAATTCGTTTATTTTAGTATAAATAGATTTCATTTGCTATTTCATCCAAATCGCATTTGGCAAAAATTCGACGTCAGAGTTGGCCATGACAAGCGCTCATTCTAATATTTTTAATCATTGATTAACCTCAATTATCACATGTAACAAACCGAGCAATTAAGATTTCTAGCTGCTGATGGTTTTGTAAGGTTTTTTTATGCCAGAAAAAGGAAGTGTGACTGTTTTACCTCTCTGTTGTTTATAGTTGAGGCCACACACCGAAAAATGGAATTTGTAAGCAAGGTATTAGTGCCAGAAGTGTTTATTGGATCCGAGATATTTGATAACCGAATCAAAAAAGTAGTTTGGATTCTGTGACCCGTGTTCAGCCGAAAGGATGGTTAGCTTTCTCGTGAGCTGTTTCAACGAGAGGCTGTCACTTCCCATGTTTTAAATGTTCTTTACTACGGATTGTGGGTTCCAAGTGTAATGATATCTTCAAAAAAATATCTCTGTGAATAAGAAAGTTTGCATTGCGCATGTGCACGCCGGGTGTTTACAATATGCGATATGTTTGCCTTTACTTGAAGCATTTTTCTTGGCACAGGTGCCACAGCTATCAGTTACCGAATTCAAAAAGAAAGAATGAAATGTATTGAATACTGTAGTAGTTCAAGCTTCGGACAGAGAGAGAAAGTGGCCGTAATAGCGCACCCAACTTCGTTGGAAAATTTGTTAAAAATACCATACTGTAAAGAAATTATTGTCATTAAACCTATGTGCTACAATACAATTACTATTTTTTATGTTAAAAATTGTTGAAACTTTTTCTAACGCTGATTACGATTATTAAGTGTCAGCAGAAAAAACTCTTTGAATTTTTTTAATCACTTGAATGTTGTTTTAATATATCCCTGTGTAGTAAACTTTATCAATTTCCGAAACTAAATCGCACCGGCGCAGAAGTTTTGAATTGAGGCACAGACTGACCTCTTCCACTTTTTTTTAGGCACTAGCGAAAGAAGAAAATTTTTTATTAACGTTCGTCTAACGTCATATTTTTTGAAAATCTCAAATGGCACAAATTATAATTCTGGATAGCCGATACTACAAAATTTGAGATGATTCTGTCTCTGATTCAACATTCCTTCTCACCGTACAAAATTACTGGGACTGGGATGCTGCTAGTTGTGGAGGGAATACTGATCTTATTGCTTCCTAGAACTTACTGGCCTGGTACTTCAATGGTTCTAAAATAACGATTTCCACTGACACACGTGGATGGATTTTGTCGCCAATTTTCATCATTTTTATTTCGCCTTGGACCATCATATTAACCATGAGGCGCAGATTGTCCAAAAATTCTCACCACAATATAATACGTCTCCAAGCAGGGTTGCAAAAAATTTGACCGGATTTTTCCACATGAAAATAATGGATCCAGATTTAGTTCCCCAAAATTACAAAGGCGAGTAACTAGCGCATTTTCCATGCATTGATCAGTACTTCCCAAAAGGCCATAGCGCTATGTTTTTCTTTACTAGAAGCATCTATGGTTAAAATTTCAAAAAATATCTTAATAAATAGCAAAGTTAGCATTGGGTAGTCTGCACAGGCGCACACCTGATGTGGACTATATAAATGCGGTATGTTTACCTTTACTAAAAACATTCAAAATTTCAAAGAAATAAGTATTTTCATAAATACGAAACTTTGCATTGCGCATGCGCACATCTGATATTTACTATATGAGATGGTTGCCTTTACTAGAAACATCTGTGGTTAAAATTTTTTATAATCTTGAGTCCCATTTTTGAAGCACTGCAAAGTAGTGCGGCGGAGTAGCCACAGCGCCGCTCCGTGTGAAGGCGTCCATCTAAAATAATGTTTCGCTACCAGCGGCGCCACTCTGCACCGCTTCAAAAACGCCTCGTAAGAAGGAGCTCTTAATAAATAAGAAATTTGGCAAAAATACCTGCAATCATTTCATTTGATGGCAAATAAATTAACAAATTTATTCAACACTGCTTCACGAATGAAATGAATGTAGTTCTTTTTCACATTACCTGACAATTTAATAGCATTTAATAATAATAATAATAATAATAATATTTATTATCCAAACAAGTAAATATATACTCAATAACAGAGGGTTTCAATCAACAACTTTTTAAATAAATACATTGTTTTGTCACTTCAGCCAAGGCCATATATTCAGATTGTGTGCTCGATAAAGCTTCGAAATATCATTTATCATCCCACAATTTATAACAGGGCGAACTATTTATTACTTCCGCGTTGAAATTGGAACTGCCCTGAAACGAAATTCGATTTGCTTATATACCAAACTTGAGTGTTCTCGAGTGCTTCCCCTATTATGGAACAAAACATGTCATATTTCCCGTTCTTTATCACCGATGACTAATCTTTCATGGCGTGACGTCAGGATCTCTGGAATATTCACTACAATTTCCAATTACATATAAATATTAATCTGCTTCCATGACAGACCTGCATACAGTTGAATACTGTCTAATTCAAATTGTTCAACTTCGGTTCAGTTGATAGAAACTTGATTGAATAGTCTTTGAGCCTTCTGAAAATGAGGTATTCTCAAATATGTATGACCATTCACTTCAATTTGAGTTTTACATTGACAAATCACAAATTGAATTGATTGAAAATTTCATTTAAATCGACTAATCGAGAAAAACATCTTAAATATATCACAACAATGTAAATTGATATGTATTTAATACATAGTTTTCTTTAAGGTTTTGCTCGTCTCTCTGCTATTTATGGTGGCACCTATATGTTAGATAAACCAATTGACGAAATAGTACTTGGAGAAGGCGGACGGGTAGTAGGTGTTCGTTCTGGAAACGAAGTAGCGAAATGCAAACAGGTCTACTGTGATCCAAGCTATGTCCCCGAGAAAGTGCACAAGAAGGGGCGCGTAGTCCGTTGCATTTGTCTACTGGATCACCCCATCCCTAACACGCGGGACGCTCTCTCGACGCAAATAATCATACCCCAAAAACAACTATGCCGAAACTCTGACATTTACATTTCCGTGGTGAGTTTCACACATCAGGTTGCCGCTAAAGGTTGGTTCGTGGCGATGGTATCTACTGCAGTGGAAACCGACGAACCAGAAATGGAAATTCGGCCGGCCCTCGACCTCTTAGGTCCGATAAAGCAAAAGTTTGTGTCCGTCTCTGATTACTTCGTACCGACCGACAACGGCTTGGAATCGCAAATATTTATATCTGAATCGTTTGATGCGACAACACACTTTGAAACTACATGCCTAGACGTGTTGGATATCTTTAAAAGAGGAACGGGGGAGGAGTTTGACTTCTCCAAAATTAAACACGAACTTGGCGAAGAAGAACAATAACTCTTGCCAAACCATTAAGATAATACTTTCAATAATAGAACTCATTGTGCAAATTTTTTTTTAAAATTTAGTTTTCTTTTATTGATATACAACACGTATGTTTCATATAGGTGCATCGATAAGTAAATTGGCAGTTAAATAACAATTAAATCTTCATCTAACTTTGATAGTCAACGAATTTTGTTAACAACTTTTGTGTAGATTTTAAGTAAGAATAAAAGTGTATCAATAGCAGCACAAATTCGTTTCTTAATAGCACTATCGATTCTTTTGATACCGTCTCAGAAGTACAGGGTAAATTGGCAGTATAAGTTTGAAGTGAGCACTAGTCAGATTAGTGCAATAATCACAAATATACTCTTTAAATATAGCTAAGTGTACTACATTGTATTAATATATTTTCTGGCGTTATAGCTTTTGTTTTAATTTGCTGTGCTTGTCTACCCGAAGCGATCAAATATGTGAAACATACCTTTCACAGCTGTTGGTTTTTTAATAATGCACTGACAAAATGGTATGAGTATCACTGAGATGTTGCAATTTATTTAATGTGGATAGTTTTCCGCAGAGTTTGTTAATATTTTTATATGTGTAACTTGAAGCTAAAAATGAAATATGTTATATATCATTCAGTAAAGGGTAGAATAGTTAAAAAAAATATTTGTAGGGCAAATTTGTATGCATGTCGGCTTTAGTTTATTTTATAATTTTTCATATTACAACCATAAAAGAAAGAAAATACATTTTTTATAAATTAGCTTTATGTTTCGTTTTTATATTAGATGCATGTTTAAACATATAAGGTGATATGGCTCTGATATATCGATTATGTGATGTTAACATTAATACCAAAAAAGAAATGTTTACACAGTGTATTAACTCACTGAGCTTTTTCGCATTCCATACTTATTGTAGTTGTATGCTCACGAATGTTTCTAGCTCGTGCTTTGTGGAATTGTTTACTTCTATTCTTAATATCAGTTTTTTAGGGAAGTAGATAACCAGCATTTAGTTTGTGATTCTCTGTAATTATTGGTATTAAGAATATCCTCAAAAGACCCTTGTTGTATAGAAAATTGAAATAAAAGCTTCTCAAAACTAGCACTTGTCTCCGTATTTATTTCTAACCAAGCTAATTAACTTCGTTATTTTTTAAATACTTTCGTACAGGAAGTTGTGTAGTATCTATCGACAAAGCAGGAAAAATTCATTTTGTAAATTAAAGACTGCTAATTTTGATGTTATAATGTTTAACACTACCCTCCATAACCAGTAAACAAAATATTCCATAATAATTAACATCAGTTTTCATATGCTCATTTCAAGTTAGTAAAAAAATTCTGTCAATCGAAGTATGTTAGGTATTACCATTGAAAGTTATAAATTCAATGGTATTACTCATAGATTCTGTAATGTGCAAGAAAATGTGTTGTTTTGCTGTCATTCGTTTGCACAGAACTTTCAATGATTTATAGGCTGGTCAATCCAGGCAGGTTTATGCATGTGAGGTAGAAAAAATTAGTAACAAAGTGATCTCTGCGGAAATGAGTACTCAACAGGGTCCTTATTAACCCCTCAAAAATCGCACTTTGTCGCATTGGTGGAACTTGGAAAAAAATGGCCGCCATCTTGATTTTTTTCGAATTTATTGAATATTTCGTAAAGTATACATTATATCAAAAAAACTCAAGAGACTTTTTTTTATGGAGAATCAAAAGTTACCTATAATAAAAAAAAGTTTAAGTCTATTGATCAAAAAACAAAAAAGTTATTGAAATTTATATGATTTGGGTAATTATCCCATCTGTGTCGAGACTTAGATGTATTTCAAGAACTTAATGCAGATATAGCAGTTTTAATTAAATCAGGACTTAAAATTATTTTAAATCTGTACCGGTGTCCAAAGAAGATTCATGATATTAACCAGTTACGTCACACACTATACAGGGTGGTGACTTGCGTAACGCGTCATAGGGATTTCAATGTAAAATTCATAACATGCGATTATTGGCTCCCCAAATTATTTTAGAGCAAAAATGTATTAAGGTTTTTTGTAGGGAAAAATTTTTTACGGCAATCAACCGTATTAGTTTTCAATTTTTTGCATAATAAAGACGGAAAATTATTTTTTCAATAATCTGTGATGCCATGGAATTTTATAATAGAAAAACTACGCCAATATCCGTCAAGCCATGGAATGTCTACTATAAAACAAATCAAATTCTCAAAAAGTATTACATTTAGAACAGTGAATTCAACATAAAGAAAGACTAAATTACTAAAAACGGTTTCCTAATATAACAATTTACAATAAATGTTCGAATAAGTCACCATTAACTGCAAGACAGTAACCAAGTCGATCATAAAATCCATTTCGATCTGCTGCGAATTGATAACTGGATATCTTTTTGTTTTAGAAAATTCCATGGCATCGTAGATTATTGAAAAAGATGCGGGTTTTATTTTTCCAATTTTCCGTCTTTATATGAAAAAAATTGAAAACTAATACGGATGATTAGCGTAAAAAAATGTTTTCTACAAAAAAGCTTAATACATTTTTGCTCTAAAATAATTTGGGGAGCCAATAATCGCATGTTATGAATTTTACATTTAAATCCCTATGATGCGTTACGCAAGTCACCACTCTGTATATGCGAATGACTTCAAGGCAAAGCCATTCAATAAATTTATTCAATGGCAAAGCTTAAATTCAGAATTGTGTTTAGCCTCACTACCACCAACCGAAGAAGCTGCCAAACAGCACATTAATATCATAATCTTTTTTTTTTATATATATTGATGTATTGCTCCATGTGAATTATTTGGATATATTTAATGTAGCAGGTAAGTAGAGGGAAGCAAATAATTGAATGTTTTTATTTTCTTTAGGTTATCGATTTCGAAGCTCACTTCATCATCAGACCTTGCTAAAATATATAAACGACTCTAGTGAGCCGATAACCTAAAGTAAATAAAAACATTCAATTATTCGCCTCATTCTACTTACCTGCTACATTAAATCATGAATCTTCTTTGGACACCGGTACAGATTTAAAATAATTTTAAGTCCTGATTTAATTAAAACTGCTATATCTGCATTTAGTTTTTGAAATACATCTAAGTCTCCACACAGATGTGAGTAATTACCCAAATATTGAGTATTTTACTTTAAAATCCTTATTTTCAAAATTGGTCATACAAAACAGTTTTAACTAATTCAGATATTTACCAAATTTAAAAAAAATCCATATTGCCAAATCATATAAATTTCAATAACTTTTTTGTTTTTTGATCAATAGACAAACTTTTTTTTATTACAGGTGACTTTTGATTCTCCATAAAAAAAGTCTCTTGAGTTTTTTTGATATAATGTATACTTTACGAAATATTTAATAAATTCGAAAAAAATCAAGATGGCGGCCATTTTTTCCAAGTTCCACCAATGCGACAAAGTGCGATTTTTGATGGGTTAATAAGGACCCTATTGGGTACTCATTTCCGCAGAGATCACTTTGTTACTAATTTTTTCTACCTTAACCACCTATTTTGACTAGCCTATTAAGCGTGTTAGGTGTAATCTTCTAATCTACAGGTTTTGCTATGTATTTTTTTAGTAAATAAAAAAAAGCATATCTAAATTGATTGAATAATGTACGTTACAGTATATTGTGTAGCCATGGTCTATGATTATTCTACCATTTAGTTAAATCAGGGATTTTCAAAAATTTCTTACGAGATCATTGCGGTACTTCTGAGCATGCTCCGAATGGTCTCTGAAAATATATGAAGAATGGTTCTGCAGAAGCTTGGAAAGACATTTGAACGTATTTCAAAGAAGTACGTAAATATGGATAGAAATTGGAAAAAATCTTTGGAGAATCTCAGAATGTTAGTTTCAAAATGTAAAATATGCCCGATAGATCTCGCGCGATTAGACCGATTAGGGCGTTGTGCACAATCTTGTTCAAACAAGCAGTTTGCAACTTTTGTTTTTTTCTGTCTGTGCCGTAATGAAAAATACTACTCGATACAGTATACTTTTTTTATTCTTCTCTCAACAATGTATTGTAGAACTCAAAAAGTGGCAATGCGAAAGTGTTTTAATTTTTTTGTATCTGTCCACATCAGAAAAAAATAAAATCTAAACCGGACAAACCAGTTTTTGAGATCCACATGATAGAAATCCTTATCTTGGACACCCTACAATCTCAAGAAATACAAATAAATAGAAATTACAATGCATCAACGTCTTTATTTCTAAAGTTTAGGCAATACAAATTGTTATCACGACATCCAACATACAGCCTGTTATTACTAACTCTAGGCGATGAAAATATTTCACCCTCTAACTGTAATTTTCCTAAAACGGTACCACACTCAAAAGGCATAATGTAAACACAGCCTTTATTTGACGCAACAGCGCATAAAATTTTATTAAAATAACTAAACAAGTGTGGAGTTGCAGTTATTGAAGAGTCTAATGTGACAACATAACACAATCTACACTCATTTTCCACAATTCGCACACAATACATTTTATGATTTGAACAGCCGAACACCACAAAATCTCCAAAGTTACACAAACCAGAAAATACATTTCCATCAACTTGAAAACTGGTAATCTGAAAGCAAGAACCAGCGTATTTCCCTACAAGAGAAAAATCTGCATACCTTTTTCCCATTATCGCAAGATAGAAATGTCAGTATTCCGCTAACGGAAACCCATCCTACCAGTGATGGTTGAGTGATAATAGCTGGGGAGCCAAATATTGGCACGTTTGCATTGTATTTCCAAATTTGTTCACCACTAAAAACGGAAAAGCTACAGCAGCTGCCTAGTGTCGTTGCAACATACACTCTTTCATTGTGAATTGTAGGATTTGAGGTAACACTTCCAAAAATATCTCTTTTCCATATCAATTCCCCATTCTAAAAATTAACTTTAAAAATCTCCAAACACTTCAATCAATTACTTACATTATAATTTACACAGTACAGCATTTTGTCATAGGAACCAAAAGTAATTGAAGTATTGTTTTCGTAAATGGCAGGAGTACACTTTATTTGATCGCCTGATTTATACTTCCATACAATGAATCCCGTTTTAATGTCGACACAATATAGATGTCCATCATAGCATCCTGTACAAACGTAAGAGGTAGATGGTATGGCACAACAAGCACTTTCAATAGCGTCTGGCAATATGGTGAGAGACACTATTGCTCCAGTTATAGCATCCAAGGTTATAAACTTGTGGGAGAAACTTCCAATGGAGACTATTCTGTAAAAACAACACTCACGTTGGATGATTAGGTAATCAGTTGCTATAACAAAGCTTAGGTTTGTAGCAACCCTGTCCGCCATATAAAACCTTATTCGGCCCCAAGTTTGCCGCAAGCATCGTAGAAGTTAAATCTGTTTGTTTGTTTGAAAAACATATATGGTAGGTATAATTAAAAAGCAATAAATATATAAAAAAATGCAGCACCATTTTCCAATAAAAAAGTACCTACTGTAGCAGGTGGTCGCTTTAAAAATGTTTTGTTAAATTTACAAACTTGCCAGTATAGGAAATTTTATACAAGAGAACAGAACTAATATTCGAGAAAATAAAGCGCGTCAAGATAAGAAACGATTGTTGAAGCAGATAAAATATCACGAAAGGGTTTGAGTCGAAAATGCAAACATTTCGATGCGCTATTTTTTTGGAGTGGCTAGTTACGTTGAAAAACCAGTTATTTTAGTTGTGCACCTAATCTGTTGATACGAGGTACTATCAAAATTATAAATAAAACGGCAATCGGTAGATAATAAGGTTAAATACAATTAATTTGTGCTTTCGTTTGCTGCAAACCTTAAGTTGTAAAGGTAATTGTGGACTATAGGAGTTTTTTATAGTTTAATTATGGACATTTCCGTACTGGTAAATTTTCCCATAAATAAACTAAACTAAGCAAAAGACTGAAACATCAATAGATGGACAGACACTAAAAATCCTAGCAGTTGGTTTCATAATTAGCGAACTTATATTTCTTGAATCTTTTTTTCATTGCCTTGAAAAATCAGTTTTGTTGATTAATAATACACATACGGTTTTTAGATTAAATATCGATTGCCTCCCCCAAAGAGAACATGCACTTACCTTTCATCAACTATTGTGGGTGTACTATCCACACATGCTTCCAAATCGTATCTCCAAGCAATTTTCAATTCTATAGTGTCTGTACCTTCAACAGTCAATTGTTCGGTATCATGAACATATTTTGTCTTCTTCAATTTTTTATATGGAACAGCCTGTAAATGACTAACGAAGTTACAACACTCCTTGAACGTTTTCTCAAACAACAAAGTTGTTAAATCATTCTGTTTTGTAGTATCAAGTGTACATTTTAATTCTGATAAACACTGAATGACCGTAATCGAATTTCCGCCCAACTCAAAAAACGTGCAATTTTCAAATTTCTCTGCACTATTGATGCTCAAACCTAAGTATTTGCACCAGAGTATCATAAAAACGTCCACGAGTCTCTGTTCGTTGTCACTACATATCAACTTCTGATACATAACTTTTAATGTCACCAAATCGACTTTCCCATGGTCTGAAAGTGGGATACTTGGAATGATTTCAATGTGATCTGGGAAACATTCACGTGGTAACGCATGTAACAATTTCACCCGCAGTTTATCAACAATTCTCTTCTTCACAGCCTCATTAAATTCCTTGATTTCAACAAACAAAATCATTTTGTATTCATCTTCATACCAAATGCACACATTTGGAAGGGCTGTATTTTGAAGTACACATTCTTGCACTTCAAAAAGGTTGATTTTGTGCCCCAACCTTTTGATCATACTATTAACTCTGCCCAAATAAAAAATCTCGCCGTCCTTTATTTGCACCAAGTCACCTGTGGCACGAAATACGGGTGTAGTAATGGTAGAGGCATCTTCATCGTCAATGTAACATATCCTAGAATAACTACCTATCAATACGATAAATTAGCAGATATCAAATGAATGATTACCAATGAACAATTCGCCCTGCCCGTCAGTAATAACTTCACCACTATCAGTGCGCACCTCCAATAGTGTATCTGGAAGGTGATCGCCTAAGGTCACACGGCCACCACCTTGGCTCTCAAAGGTAGAAGCCCAACATGAGACCTCAGTTATACCATACAGATTAAAAAATTTTAAATCTCTTGATCGCGGTCGTTTTAAAATTTCTTCAGGAAATTTCTCACCACCAAATGCTAACACACGACATGACGATTTTTCTAACAAATACATTATGTCGGCATCATTCCAGTGTAATAACAATGAGGGAACTATTTGCAGTATTGTAACGCCGCCGTGGCATTTATTGCTTGGAAAGAGTACATCAAGCATAAATCTTCTAGATTTAGGAGGAATTACCAACGTACAACCTGTGGTTAGAGCTAGGAATACTTCAACCATGAGGGATCAAATGTTAGTGGCGTTCCGAAGTATATCACATCTTTTTCGGTCACCTTAAACACAACTCTACAAGAAATCATTTATTGGTCATCAAGACTCGCTGAATCTACCTTAGACCCTTGATATTCGATGCAATGCATTCGCGGGTTACTTTAACAATTTTGGGTTGTCCCGTTGTTGCGGATGTCATAATGCAATATGCAATCGATGCGAAACTGTCACGATAAGGAGTTACCAGTTTTCTTTTCCAGAGCGTTAGTAGAATGCTACCAAAGTTGGTCTCCTCTGTATAATAAGTGGGTAAAAAGTTGGTATACTTATCCTTGGGATCGTAGCGTATTATCCACTTTATACTCAGTTTTCTGGTCAAGAGAACATTCTTCTCTAATGATTCAGGATCCAAGAAGATAAAGCAGAGGTTGCATTTCTGTAAGCTGCAATATATAAGTTCTATAAGTGAAAAACAAGTAAATCATTTTGTATCTTTGTTCATTACAGTACTACATTAATTAGACTACCAAAAACAACATAGGATGTACCCTCGGATGTAACACATAAGCATCTAAAGAGAATTCCAGAGATTAGGTATATAGTTTTTTATTTTTTCAATTTTTGAAGTGGTCATGGTCAAAAACCCCAAAAACGGCCGAATTTTTGTGTGCAGTAAAAATACCAGATTGAAGTGTTTGATATGTGTTATAGAAATTAAGGTTGCTTAGTAAACAATTTATTGTATTGTATATGCTAGCATTGTATTAAGATGTATATACAATGATGCTAGTACACTACAATGTGTACAGAATAGCAAATACGCAATATTTGTGATAAAAAATAATCACAAGATTAACATGTAAATATAACATAATTTAAATATAATACAACAAATGTCGACTGAGGGCAGAAATATTTTTAATTGTGTATGGTAGCACATTAAATATTTTACAGCAATAATATATCAGGTTATGATGAAATAATGCTGTCCTATATCTACCAGGGATTAAATTGTGTCAGGTGTTATAGTTACCTCTGTAAGATGAGAAAAATTTTCACATTTGACACAGAGGTGTCAAATTCTTGACAGAATAGCTTCCTAGCTGAAACCAAAAATTGCCAACATATGTACGCACTTACAGACGGGAAAAATTTATTCTTTAAAAGTTACTTAAAATGGTCTAAAACGTCGACATTTGATGAAATTTTGAAATGTTCAAAAAACGGCTATCGCAATAGCTACCTAGCACATGCTAGGAAGCTAAAAATGATATATGATTCAAGTTTCTGGTTGTGTACTGTATTAATAATAATAATAAAGCTTAATAATAAAGCTCATTTAATGTTTCGTAGAACAGCCTACATACATTACTCATTAGTCAATACAAAAGCAAAATAAAAATATTACAAATGTAAGAACAAACAAAAATTATAACACAACAATACTTAATTGTTACGAAAAGAAGTCTGTACTGAAAAATTCCTCATACGAATAAAACGCTTTATCAATAAGAAATGCTTTAGTTCTTGATTTGAATAAATTAAAAGGCAATATTGTGAGGAATATAATTATACATTTTTATATTGATATAATCAAAACTGTTTTGCGTCTTACTTAAACGGCAAAAAGGGACAAATGCATTTAATTTGTTGCGGGTGTCATAATTATGAACATCGCAATTTTTAACAAAATAATGTTCATTGCGCTTAACAAAACAAAGACAAGTAAAAATAAAAATAGATGGAAGCGTTAATATTTGGTGATCAATGAAAGCTTGCTCACAATCATCTATTGAAAACACTGTAGAATACTGTCTAATTTTCAAATGACCCTAAAGTAAGTGTGGGCATTGTAAATAAAGTATTTAACTTTATTTAAACAATGGTGTGGGTAAGTGTGCACTAATCACATAGAAAATATTTAGCTTACCTATAGCACACCGTCTATAATAGGGTAGATGACAAATTTTTTAAAACCAGTTATAACTGTTCGTATACCTCTACTATAACTTTAAAATATGATATTTCAGCAAAATAAATCATATTATTGCAAATTTATGCAATTTAAATTGTAGATTTTTATTCTAGCGCCAAAACGCTGTTTTGTGTCATGGCGGTGTCTGTGACGTCACAGTCCTGACAATTAAAAACACATAACCCCAGCGTAAATAGTTTAAAAGATTTCGTGATGAATTATAACTACTATAAGTGGTGCCCTAGCATGGGGTACACCTTGTCGTGGTGGTAGGGCTCAGTAGTCACATTTTTCTGTGGCACAGCTAAGTATCCCAGGCGGGCAAGTCTGGTTCCAAGGATGCTGTATCATTCAAATGCTTCATGGAGTAGAGAAATCCAAAAGGGTTCTCGACGATTGCTCATTAAACGTAATATACAAAACTGTATTGACATGAGTAGCACATTCTTCACGTACGTTAACTCCTGCGGCGTGCGGTAGATGACAATTTGGACAACTTCCGAATCCGATTGAGCCATTTGCCGATAGAGTTTCGAATAATCGGACTATATCATGACTTGTTAAACGTGATAAAAGAGACTTTATCGACACTAGTACTCCTTTGGACTCTGAGGGGTTGTAAAAGTAGCTTGATAGTTGATGGTAGGGCAAAGAAAAGAATTTGTTTTCTTCGTCGACAACATAAGGAAACTGCATACACCTTTGCGTGAACCTAGGCGTGAACCGTATGATGCGGATAAATGTTGACTTAACTGTGAATAAGTTGCCATCACGCTTAAGAGTCTTCTGTTCGACTGCAGCCAATGTAAGGTTCCATAAGAGCGCCCGCCATAAGAACTGTAGTTTCAAAAAAAAAAAGTTGTTTTAAGAGCTACTTTTTATACCTTTATCTACAAAATGTTCGTACGCTTACGTACAGAAAGCTCTTAAAGTGGACATAGCTTACTGAATCATCTCAATATGATAGCTTCGATGACCAAAAACAAAGCATCTTGTATTACAGTTTTGATACGGTTCTGTGCAACGTCTCCCTGTCTATACTGATACGATACGGGGATATGATGATACGAGGATACGCAACAAGTCTGGACCGGCCTTGTACACATTCCTCTTAAATATTTACATTTCTTGTAATAAGCTTAAAGGCGGGTTTAGGCTCGTACGCAGAACGGCGCTGCTGCAGAAAGTCGCAGCCGCAGGTAGTTCGAGACCATGTTGATATACGGCCTTGTTTATGCTTGAACGCACAAATACAAAACGTAGGTTGCCGCAAATATGCTTGTCTGTAGGAGACGCAGAAGTTCGCAGAATTTAAACTTTGTACGCAGTTGTTTGTAGTCGGGCGTACAGCTCTTCTTGATCCTTTGTCACCATACTTGAAAAACATTTAGAAACCTTCCAAATTTTCTCCTATATTTGTTAACAGGTCTTACTGCCCACCGTCGTACCCTCCTTTGAGTATGCAAGAGCCCCAACTCATTACTTAACGCCGTTAGTAACAGTATTTTCTTTAATTTAATTCTCTTCTTGTCTGCCATTGCAGAAATTAATCAAAAATCTGTTTTTTCTATTCACTTAACCAACCACGTTATTTAACGACCAAAAGAGGTTAGGTTTTAAATGTCAATTTCGACACTTGAACACTGAGAACAACTGCGTACCAACATAAACAGATACGGTCTATTCAGTATATCTTCCGTTGCACGTCATTACCTGAAGAAAACGACGTACCAACGTAAACTTACTTTCGTTTATTAGGCAACACATTAAGCATGTAGTTTATTTTAGCCGCAACAATTGGTAGCATTTCGCCTTGTTGTCGCGTTTAAAATTGTAAATTTGACAGGTTGCTTTTGGTTTACTTTTCGTTTGATTTGATTTTGATTATTTTCTACGTCTTTCGCTGTGCATTGGTTTGAAGAGAAATTACTGAAGAATTTAGATAACCCGTCAGTAATTGTGTTCGATAACGGGAAAACAGACAACATTAAAGTGTGGTTAGGTGATCATAATGTGCAGTTCTCCGACAATGATTTTAAAGCCGAACTGTTGAAAAGGTTGCACAGTAAGTACGTTCGCAAATTATTTGATATTATCTAAATCTTGTTGATACTTTTAGGAATAAATCAGCTAAAATGTACCGCATAACGCATTGACCACTTAGCCGAGCAATATGGTTACTTCGTTTTACAATTATCACTCTATCATCGCGTTTTTAATCCTATCGAACATATTTGGGGCATAGCGAAAAATTACTACAATCGACACATTGGTAGAGATGGACGAAGCATTGAAAATTGCATAAACATGTGACAAGAAACACTACAATCGATAACTTCCGAAACGTGGCGCAATTCAGTTAAGGATACGGAAACTGTAATACACGAAAGAGAAAAGCAATTAGATCTTGAAAACGTTGCTACTATTATTATAAACTTTGGACACGAAAGCAGTTCTGATGATTCCGATTAATTTGAATATCATCCATCACATCACATAACCTGTAAAATTTTATATTTAGTACTTTCTCTGTAAAAGAGATGCTACATTTGTACAGTTCATAAGTTATTAAAGTATATTGTATGTATATTGTGGTTCCAATTAACGAAATGAATAATAAAAATTATTTTTATTTTATTTAAGGTGTGCATTGTTCACACAAACAATGCAGTCTGGTTGACAAGTGACATAACCTAAATCGCTCAAAACTAGATTTGGCATTATTGCATAGTAATTACGTCACAGAAAATGATGACGTGCAACGGAAGTTATACGGAATAAAGTGTATCACTAGTACACACGGGAGCGTACTTCTGCAGCTGAAATTTCCACTCACTTCTGCAACGTGTGCATTCTGCGTACGAGCCTAAACCCGCCTTAACTTAAAAACCTACAAGACTTATATGGCAGTTTTCTGATGAGCAAAAATCTTTCTGTTTGATGCAAGAAATATTCCCAACATCATTACATCATTTTTTGGCAGATTTGATGCTATCAGCTTTCGTATACCCACTTTCCATTCCTATCTGGTTTTAAAAACTAAACTTTAGGATAATATGATCACCATAAAATGGAACAAGCACTAAATTAAAAAACGTGGACAAACTATATCAACGCACAGAGGATTAGGATAATGACGTCACGCGCTCTGATTGGCGTTTGATATCACGTGACAAATGTCGTTATTTTTTAATTTTATTTTTACTAAAATATAATAGTTTCTCGTGTACATTACCAAAGAAAGTTATTTTGCGATACCCTGGCACCTTACTCTATCTTTATGAAACAAACATTTATTTATTCTTTTTCCACTGTCATGTAGCCTATT